CCTGAGCAGCTCAACACAAACAAACACCACAGCACCACAACACACCAAAACAATAGACCACACTACAACCACGAAAGACCACACAGCACACACAACCGCACCACCAACCACATGCCGCCGCCAACAACTCGTGGTTCATCCTACAATCTGCACGTTATGTCAGACCAGGATATTCCGTAATGTGACATCAGTTCAGTCAAGTGCAACACCTGCCTTGGCTGGTGCCACTTTAGGGCATGTTCATGTCTGCGCACCACGCGAGATTGGACGAGGAACTTCGAGGGCCCGTGTTGCGCCACTCGATCGCAAAACCCCCACCCCCCACCCACTACCACCACAGGGCGGCAACCTCCACAGCAGTGCGGCAAGGTCGCACACATCCCTTACACCCCACATAACAACACGTCTCCCGAACCACATGAAGCCCCTTCAATTTAACTGTAAGGGACTTCAGAGCAAGATCGAGGAGATAACCGTCTTTATGGGAAGGCATGGTATATTGATAGCTGCGGTCCAAGAGACGAAGTTGCACAGCAATTCAACATTGTTGAATTGTGCGGGATACAACGTGCACCGTCGAGATCGCGAGCGAGATAATGGTGGTGGCTTAGCGTTCATCACGCACCCCACCGTGCAGTGAAAACTAAAAACACTACTGTTTTACTTTTACATTTCAAAGCTCCCTCAACCACCAGAGGGAATCTCGATTGTCTCTTGATAACTTGTGTTCGAAAGTAAACGGGTATCTCTCCGAGCCTTCTCGCTTCTTCCCCTGCTTTCTTTCTCTGCGCACGAAACCGCTATTGTCAACAAAGTATAGAGCCGCAACAAGGCCTCAAGTCGCTAGCCGGCAGTACTTGGGGCAAATACAAACAAACGTTGCTGGCAACATGCAAGGCAATAGGCCGGACGGTTTTAAATTACGCAGTACCAGTGTGGTCGCCGGGGACTAGTAGGACGCAGTGGATGGAGTTGCAGACGACGCAAAATACCGCACTACGGATAGCGACTGGATGCCTTCTGATGTCGCCAGAATACCACCTGCGCAACGAGGCGAAATTGCTCCCGATTAAGGAGCACAACACCACGCTCTGCAAGCAGTTTCTTGTTGGGAGCCATAGACGTGGTCACCCAAATAGGCAACTGCTTGCAGAAGAGCCCTCGTCCGGGCACGTCAGGAGGCATCTCTATGAACTGACGGATGAAGGCCAGAGGTTCATTAAACAACCTCTGGACCCGTCAGCTTATCGACAGGCCTTGTGGACTCCAGACCGGTGAATGCCGTTATAGGCGCACAACCATCGGACATTGACGGGACGGAGCTTCATCTGACTCGGGAGACCAGAACCACAATAGCCCAACATCGCTACTGCAGCAGGTTAAACCCATACCTGAGCAACAACAACAACAAAAACAAGCGAAATAATAGCTGTCATAATATTAGGAGAAGGCCAAAGCTGTCCAGTGGTCACGGGAACTCTGCGTAATAGCGTAGGCCGAAAATCCGTTTTTTAGAATTTTGATTGGTAATAGCAAAAATATGGTTCATTATGCTCTAAAAACAATCTGTGTGATAGGTGATTTTTGGTCAATATCTTAGGCTCGCCCAAGTCCATAGCTGAAGTACTAAAAAAGAAATTTCTAAGCTTACTTCGATTCTCTACAAAAAAGGTCCATATCCCAAGTTATGTAGGACTAATACTTTCGAAGCTACGTGCAATTTTATAAAAAAAAAGTATTAATAATGTATTTATTGATTTTTATTTTATAATTGAACTTTGATGGATTTGGGCGAGCCAAAGATATTGACCAAAAATGTTCATCTTTCACACAGATTGTTTTTAGAGCATAATGGACCATTTTTTTGCTATTACAAATCAAGAGAGAGTACTCAAATATTTTAACCAAAACAATTAGGAGGTCAAGAAAACTTAAACGGATAATTTTAGAATCTTCTCTGTGGAGTTTGTTTCAAGGCCTCTCAAAAGATGGAAGGACAGTCGCTCTGCTTGGATTCCTTCACCCAAAACTAGAGTTCGAACCAAGAGAGACCAGAAGGTCGCCGTCGAATTGAAGGTTTGTTTTTTTTACCTGGAAATCTGTCCGTTGGGTGATCGGTTCTTTCGATACGGATGGAATCCGAGGAGCTTCTACTGCCCAGGCATCATGAGGAACAGTTTTGCTTCGCAGAAGAGACTACTCGCTAGCAAAATCGTTTAAGCCAATAAGTTTAGCTTCTTCTGCGCTTAAAGCAATGGAGAATATTATAGACAACCACATCAGAACGAATTCTCTGAAGCGAGCTCCGTTGCATCTAAGCCAGCAATGATATAGCGCAGGAAGGTTCACGGGCACTGCTCTCCACCAGCTTCGGATATCCGGATAAAATGTACATTCAATAATAAATATATAGTTGGATAGCAGCCCGACTTAAAACCAGAGAATCCCCCTTGCCTTGTTAGAGTTTATAGAAGATATTAAGAATCGTCACAGGCATTCTTACAAGGTTACTTGCACAAACTAGGTATTTAGTCAAACGATCTCTGCTGCTACTTTGGCTCAACCAAAGAAACTCCTTTGCATCTTCTAGACTAATATCCGATGCTTTTTTTTAGGAGACGCGAGAGAAGTCTTGGTCTAATGTAACCACAGTAGGCGCAGAATCAATCCCTGTTCCCTAAAGCTTTTCCAAAGTTTTTAGAGGCCTTAGGCTTAACAGAAACATTGTGAAGAGCATTTGTCACATTAGATCCTAGATTGTAGTGCATACCTCATATTTATAGCTTTATACATATCTAGGCTGAGTAAAACCAAAGATTTAAAATTACTTTTTCATGGTTTATTTTATAGAGATTTTCAAGCTATAATGCAGATGGCGGCACTATTACCAATGTAAGATTGTGTGGAAGATTTTCATGTGGCATATTAAAATAAGACATATTTTATTTATTTCGCAGATACCAGTGAACTATAGACCGGATCCGGCATTGCTGACACAGCCCAGCTTTAACCAAAAAAGTTTTACCAATCGTCAAAATGTCGACGATAGTTTAGAGATCCAAATGCTGTTAGCTTCACACGAGCAAATTTATCAAGAGCTAAGCAATAGACATGCAACCCTACAACTAATACGAAATTCCACAAGGTACCAGAGAGCAACTTGATTTGCCTTTCATCGACCATTCAAATCATTCGTCTTCCTTGCATTAATCGAAAATTACATGATTACTTATAATTTTTTTTTTAGGTCTCACGATATTATCGGCGCTTTAAAACAAGCTATAAAGACAGGTCGAACTGTGTTTGTTGATCTTTTAGGCGC